TCAGCTTTGAAGGTTCACCGTGAGGGAGACTGTCTTCAGTTGGCTCTCTTCAAAGTTGTTTCTTAGGCTGAGACAGGATCAATGTTGTTTGGTAGAGGAGTTGATGTTCTTATTTGGTTTCACCATGGTCGATGTATTATTTTTGGTTGATTTGCTTAAGGGTTGATTAATTTCGATACACGAAAATCACTTAGTAATTACTGTGCACAGATTACGTGTACTCTTAGTATGTTTTAAGTGTGTATGAGAATTGAATTAGAAGATTAAGATTCTTGCACTTCGACGTGAGCTTTCAGAAGCAATGATTAGATCCTGTGTAGCTCTTGGTACAGAATCTACACAGGGTTCTTATTGTTCTGATCTACTGACATCTTTGTTCTGTGCGAGGTAATCTATTTCTGATATCACAGACCTCTTACAATCCTCGGACCTCTAATGATGGATCCTATGATACATACCTAGGAAGGGTATGTTACGATAGGTATGTAGGAATGGTATGTTCCCTCATTCCTTTCTTTGAAGCTCCGTACCGTATGTATATTTCCAATACAGTACGTACTGTACGTATACTTCCAATACTGTATGTATGTATCTGTTGCAATGGCAAAAGGTTCCCATCCTCACACGTGGCCACATCAGACCAGCAAGCTCAGTCCCCCCTCAAATCCCAAACTATCTTCCAAGCTCCACTGCTAGAAGCTTTACCAAGTCCTGCATATTTTATTTATGGCTTGCATGTACTGTCGGTTAACACTTTCCTAAACTTTTCATCGACAAACTCATCAAATTCAGCTTTGGTTCTCTTTGTTCCAATTAACTGATTAGCTTCACTTTTAGCATTGTAATCATGTTTAATAAATGCCTGAAACCCTCCCTTTCCTTTGAAATCACCTTCTTTGAAATGGACATCTCCCTTGTGAAGAGCCACAAAGAGCTGACAAATCCTTACAGTCATAGTGCTTGTGTCCAGGGGTTTGCCGGTCTTAGTATTCTTTATGTACTTTGCCCAAATTTTTAGCGCTCTATCCATTATCTCCTTGCTCACTGCATTAGTTTTTCCTGTTACATGTTTATAGAATAGACAGTCCTCAGTCATTCCATCTGTCATTAGGACTTTCCTTGTGAACATTTCATACATGAACTTATCACCTGGATCATTCTTATCTGGGTCTGTTGCATCAGCTACTATCTTGACAAATTTTTCGTGAGTTCCCCTAATAGTCTTTGCATACTTCTTTGTCCTCGCTTCCGCTTCCTGATACTCATCACTACCAAGTGAGTTGAATGCTTTTGCATTGTCATGGATTGTCTTTGCATACTCAATTAAGGAAGAGGCCTTCTTTGTTGTCGCTAGTTGCAGCTTATTGTTATTTTCTGTATTGCTGGTACAGACTGTAGTAGTAGTGTCCTGTAGGGGAGGAGGATCTTTTGTAGGAGGATCAGGGTTTGAAGGAACTCCACTTTCGACAGCTCCTACTTCTGTTAACGTCAATGGGGGCGGAAGGGCTTTTGGTTTGGGTGATTTTGGTGCTGGTCTTGGTTTCTTCTTGATATAACTCTTTGCGTACAGATTGCGTACAATAGTCGAGTGCAGAGGGGGAGCTGTTTTCTTCATTAGTGTAGCAGGGGGTGTTTTAACACTTTCAGTACCATCCATTGTAACTCTCCTTGGGACTTGTTTGTTTGCACCGTCATTTGGCAAAGTGCAGATTTGTTCTTTTGCTGCTGGTGGCGATTTGTCACCAGCAGTTGCTTCAGGCTTGGGCATCATGTCGACTTCAATTGGTGTCCGGTTGACACAGAATGTCACATCTCTCCCCACTCTGTTCCTTGCAGCAAACAGTTCCTTTTTCACGATTCCACTTTCTTGAGTTGCCTGGTCAAAAACGTGGGCATATTCTGGCCACACACCTGCATCATTCTTCTTGTTGTTGTTCCGACACTCCTGTCGTTTAGTTCCTTGTGTCGTGGTCTTGGATGAACAGGAGCCCAGCAGTGTGGGTCTCTTGTTGTTCTTGCTGCTTCCTCTGGTTGTAACTATGGTCCTTTTTATGTCTTTACTTTTTTGTTGCTGAGTTTTCATCTGTTCAGACCATTTATATTGTGTAGAAATTATGTAGATTTGTACGTGAGAGGGTTTTTTTGATGAACACGTCTTGTGTATTCTGAGAGAAAAAGCAGTTATTGAAAAAGATAAACAGAGTACTAAGATAAGTGAGTGGTGTGATACTCGTACTGAAAATTCATCTCAGTTGAAAACAAAAAATTAAGTTAGAGTACTGTTCAAGACCTGAAAAAAGTACTCCACATTGTGTACTCTACTGAATTTTTGGTTTCGGAGTTGTATTCAGGTGCAGCCCAACTACTAGCATTATCATGGGAAAAATTCGGCGCTGCCATCAAATGGCGCTGACTACAATTTTAGAATACAGTAATAAAAAATTTCAGGTTTGTACTCCAGCAAGGTGCAAGAAATAGGACCAAAAATAACTAGTGTTTCTTAGCAAACGATTTGAGTATCACTTAAGTACTCTTGTGCGCGTGATTACATGCTAAAATCCAGCAACTGGTCGATTATGTAATATAATCGGCAAGCTACTTGCGGATTACGTGTAATCCGTATGTAATCTGATCCGTACTTTGGAAAACCTTCAAAAACCTTCCTTAAGGAGAAAATCATGTGCAGTCAAGCGCTATCAGATTATATACGGATTACACAAGTAATCCAACTGAGGCCAAGGATGAGAGCGTTAGCTTGAGACCGAGGCTGAAGTTGGATTACTGCTGCAAAGAGTAGCTTGCCAATTATTTATGTAATCCTCTAGTTGCTCGCTTTTCACATGTAATCACCGCAATCATGGTGAGCACTACCACTAGCATTGAAGGAGCTAGTATCTGGAGGTCCCCCCTTGATAGATTCTTCAGCTGTTGTGTCAAAAAAGCAACAACAAAAAAGGAGCTTATCTACGCCTGCTAATTCCAAATAATTTCATTTACTGATTCTTACAAAATACGTTTTTTTGTGAAATAGACAAGAAGAACCAACGCAGGAGATTGAAGTTGCTCTTACTACATACTGCATAATAACACAGGATGTTTGTACTCCTTGATGGGCCTCCTTGATCTCCTTTAAATGTTGCAACATTTTCAGTTCATTTTCAAGCTGTGCTCTTTTGCTCTTTTCCCAGGCAAGCTCCTTCTGATTATATTCATCCTTTGCCTCTTGAATTTTTTCAGACAGCTTTTTATCTTACAAGTCATTTTCAAGTGAACAAAGCTTCTTCTTTAGATCCAAAATAGTGTTTTGGGCATCTTCCAGTTGGCAACAAATCTTCTTTCCTGCTCTCTCAAACTCATCCGATTCATCTTTCCTCTTTGCGGCTTCCATTTTTGCCATTACAAGTTGGTGCTTCAATATCCCCTTTGTAGGTGTAATTATTTCCTTTCTAGGAAACATATTTCCTCCAGCTGGCAAGGATGCTGCTGCAATTGCCACTGTATCTGCAACAGGAGAAGAACTGGCAAGCACTTTTTTGCTGTCTGTATGAGCGGTTCTTTCCATTTTTCTTCTGACACAGCAATGAAAACCTCCTTATTATTCATTCCTCCAGTCGATGTCGTTGCTTTCGAGTTTCCTCCTGAAGGTCCATTCTTGTTACCATGGAGCCCACCATGAAGCACGCCTTGTACAGCTTGTTGAATTACTGAATTTTGATGAATATATGGCTCGGCAGACTTGGTACTCTTGTGCCTTAGATGGTTCATCCTCATCTTTTCAGGAACAGCCAGATCCGAAGCAAGGATTGTGCAGCATTGATGCCGGTTATCACGAGGTGTATATTTCTCCCAGTCCTTGAAATCAGCAACTTTGGCAAACTCCTTCACCCAAGTCCAAACTGATCCCACTATGACAGGAGATGAGCTCTTGAAGTAGTATGGGTTGTTCTTCTTTTTCTTCAAGTTAGGATGACAAAGGAACCTTGCTTGGTTTGGATCACACCAACTCCTATAGAAGTTCATCAGCTTTACAATACAGTTTGGATTATCGGGATCTTCCACAACAGAGGGGAACTGCTTAGTTAAAGTTGGATTATTCAGTGAAAGCTGGTTGTGACTTATCAAACCCTCCTCCAGGAGCAATAATTACGTACTTCAATCCTTTCATATTACCACTGCTGAATGTGCCCATTCTCACGTGTGACCACATCAGGCCAACAAGCTCTGTTCCTCCCCTTATTCCAAACTGTTTTCCGAGCTCCATTGCTATCAGCTTTAGCAAGTCTTGCATGTTATCGTAAGGCTCATAAGTACGATCACTCAAAACTTTACGGAACTTCTCATCAACAAACTCATCAAACTCAGCCTTTGACCTCTTTGTTCCAATAGAAGGATCAGCTTCACGCTTTGTATTGTAATCATGCTTAATGAGGGCAAGGAAGCCGCCCTTTGTTTTGAAGTCTCCTTCCTTGAACCTTACATCTCTCTCATGAAGAGCAACAAAGAGCTGTTGTACCCTAACACTCATAGTGCTGGTGTCAAGTGGAGCACCAGTTTTGAGGTTCTTCATGTGTTTTGCCCAGAGGTTATTTTTCCAACCTGTGCAAGCGTTTTTTCTCGTCTAGCTGTTATATTTATGACCCCTGGCATCATTTGCACTCATCATTAATGTCACAAGTCGGATACTATTTCTTTTATCTCAAAAGATACAACAAAACACGCGACGGCTTACGTGGGTAAAAGTATTCGAGTTCTCCAAAATTCCGCGAAGCGATTGCTGAACGAACTACTAGTACTATTACAGTAGTAAGAGAGTAAACACCAGGAAAGCAACTCAAATCGAGAGGGAGCAACGCTGCTCATTCCATCTAATGCTGTCCTTGTGATCCATTCTTGACTGCAAAGATCAATGGTGAGCATGGACAAGATCTGCTGCTGCTGCTGCTGCTGCATGGATCTTTGAGGAAACTGTGTTCGATTCGTTGTTTTCGAACAAATAGTACATGATGTAAAGCAATTAATTGATGCTGAACATTTATCTAAAACACGTGGCTAGCTCCTTCGCATAATTTTAGAAAGTTAGTTGAATTTTCGACGCACCCGGGTGCACTAATTCTTCCCACTGTTCCCGTTCTGTGTCTTTTGGAACTCTTTGATTTCTCTGGTGGCCGCAGACTGTGCGGCAGCCTTCTTTCTTCGGTTTCTTTTTTTCTTGTCCTTCGCCCTTCTGGCCGCAATGGCGGCCGCCGCGGCCGTGTCGATTCCTCCCGGCTCCATGTTATCCTTTGCACCGTTTGTCGCTGCGGTTACTGCCCCGTTGTTGCTGTTCTTGCTGTTGTTCTCGTCGCCGGTGGTCTCGGCTGGTGTCCGGTCTGGCTCGGTCAACGGTGTGGTGTTGGTGTTCCACTTTTTCTTTTTGTTCTTTTTGCGCCTGTTTTTGTTGCGTGTGGTAACCGTGCTTGGAATCGCCGTTTCGTTGCTCTCCTGGTCGGATGGTGTCTCTTCCTGGGTTGCATTGTCTGGCGTTGGAGGCGGCTCTTCTTTCGTTTTTGCGGATGCCTTATTTCTCCTGCGCGTTGTAATCGTATTTGCCAGAGCTTCTTCAAGTTCAAAGTCTCCAATTTCCACTTCCCGGGCCGGTGCTTCAGACGGAAGATCCTCTTTTTCGGTTTCCCCCTTGACTGAATCCGCTACTGGTTCTGTATCGGCTGCCGTTGGTGTTGGAGTTGGTGGAGGCTCTTCCTCTCTGGCGTTCTCCTTGGCTTCATCGAAGACGACTACTTCTTCCGCTGGGGAATTGAGTGGCGGCTGCTCCTGTTTCGTCTCCTCCTCAACGTCATCTACAACTGCTGTAGTTTCTGTGTCTGTCGCAGTTTCGGGGGGGGGCTCTTCATGTTCTTTGGCTTGCTCGTCGGTTGCATCTGTTAGTTTTGTCTCGGCTTGCGTTGGAGGAGACTTTTCCTTACCGGCCGGCTCCTCGACCGCGTCGGATGCGACTGCTTCTTTGGTGACCTTCGATGGTTTGGTGACCGTTGTTTCACTTTTCAGGTTCTCGTTTGGTTTCGTGTCGTCGCTGCCTTCAGCGCTGCTGCCGCTACTGCTATTGCGTGAGAACAAGACGTAGGCCGTAGCAGCCACTACCACGGCTGCACCAGCGCCCCAAAACACGATGGATTTGTTGGCGTTTCTCGCCGACGACATAGCAGTGGATGGATGAATGGACTGCTGATTGCCTTTGCTTCCGAGGAATCGAATTGCAACTTAGTTATGGTGACAAGATTACAAGCGGTTGTTGTCCATTGAAAGTACTACTACCGGTGGATGATTTACCTCTAGTAATTATTTTTCATCGAACGAATAAGACGAAACGTAACCACGTACTTCGTACCTATGAGAGTGTTGTGAGCGACGGACAGACGCAAATCAACCAGATAACGAAGGCAGTTACTAGTGTAGTCATTGATACTATCATACAAACAGTATAGATCTTTGGGGGTGTGATAAGGATGTTTTAGATGGGTAAAGGTTTGAGATTGTGTGCAAGTACTAAGCATGAAAGGGAAGCTTCTTGACCATGTACAGTGTTTTTGCAATAAGCATGACACTATGACTGGTGAGTGTGCTGTTTTAAAGAGGAAGAAGTGTCATTCTTAACAAGAGACTTCTTACAGTTATAGGGGACCAGTCTAAATGGGCCAGCAACCAACAGTGTAGGTAAATATGCATGCTAAACATACCTCCATATGAATTGTTGATCAGTCACAATTCAGTTGTACTAGTCGTACTAGTTGTAAGTAAAATACAATCCATTTGTATGATGATGAGTTGTAGTATGGATCCAATCATATGTACATGTGATTGAAACAGTCCCTGTAAGTTCATTTGGTTTAGTCAACCAATTGAGCTTAGAAAAGATCCATACCACATGATCCACATAGGGATTGATTCATATGATCATTTAATTATCGTATCATGGGCGGCCATTTTCCAGCCTTGTCATTCGTACTTTAGGAATGCTCAATATACATACACGTATATTGATCAATACTTCTACTTATCAAACGCCCTACTCCCCCATGCCATTAGAAAGCTCTTCAAATTCTCTTTTGAACCATATGCTTATCATACTTAAGCGTTGCAACAGATATGTACGAACTGTATCGGAAAGATACATACGTACGATGCTTCGATGAGAGGGAATGAGAGGGAATGAAGGGACATACCATTCCTACGTACCTATCGTAAGGTACGCTTCCTATGTATGTATCATAGGATTCATCGTAAGAGGTCCGAGGATTGTAAGAGGTCTGTGATATCAGAAATAGATTACCTTGCACAGAACAAAGATGTCAATAGATCAGAATAATAAGAACCCTGTGTAGATTTAGTACTGAGAGCTAAAGAGGATCTAATCAGAGCTTCTGACAGCTCACGTCGGAGCGCGAGAATCTTAATCTTATAATTCAATTTTCATACACACTTAAAAAGAACATACTAAGAGTATACGTAATCTCATGCAAGCATCCGTTGGGGAAAAGTTACAGCCCAAACTGTCAGTTCAAGACTGAAACAGTTGTACGGTTAAAATAGTATGCGTCAATTTTGGGCTATCTTTTTATCATGTAAAGACTCATTAGACTCAACAGATTTCAGTCCCACAATGGACGCTTTGCACCTCAACTGTTATTTTTAGCTTACAAAACTAGGCCACTTATTGTGTGAATTCATAGCATGGCAATTCCACTCCTTGATACTTTTGTTTTGTTTCCAGTTTATCAGAAGGAACTGTGTTGAATCCATTTATCAGTGCTTTAACATGATGCATTGATCCCATTTCTTTCTCTTAAAATCAATCAAGAACAATACATACTGTGACTGAGAGCACCCCTCCTAAGTATGGAGGATACTGCTAGAACAAGCAAGGAGCAGCATAATAAGCAAAATAAGCAACAGCAGCAGCAAAACAAGCAGCAAGATGAGCAACAAATACTAAAAACACCAGACTTCCTAGTCAAAGACCTCCATTAGGATGTATATCACTGATACCCTGCAAGCTCCCCAGACTCGGTCCCTCCATGACGTACTGGAGCAGTCTTGCTTGGTTCCCATCCAAAGCAAAGAGTTAAATTGAAGAGGAGGAGAGCAAAAACAAAGAAGGCCTGGCACCAAGCCCCGATGCTTGTTTACAAAGGTCCAAAGGCCTGTGCTTTCAAGCACTGGATGCCAAAGCAGAAGCTTGCAATCATAAAGGGCAACATGGAGATGAAGTGGCATCCAGAAGCAAAGACAATGGAAGTAGCAAAGTTGATTAAGGCCATTGATCCAGGGCTTGGATGGAAGATACAGATCGTAATGGACCCCTCTGTGCCTCCCCCTGAAGCTCCTKAGCCTCCTCCACCAGTGATAATCAATGATCCATCCCCAAAGTACAGTTTGTATTGAATCAAGACTGGAAGTGGATGGAGGAATACAGAGGACGCTTCCAGATATGGAGGAAGCAACCAAAAGAGCTGCAGATAGGGAGGAAGCAACAACCAAATGAGCTGCTGATACAGAGAAGCAACTGAATGAGCTGCTGATACATAGGAATCAACAGAATGAGCTGCAGATACATAGGAAGCAACCAAATGAGCTGATATGGAGGAAGATAATCATAACTATTTCATTTATTACACAGATTCTTTTTGTTTAGTACACTGATTCTAATGGTTCAAGGACTGTGCTTGACTCAGTAGTAGTAGTACTATCTGCAGTTGGTAAAGTTAGTTCACTGTTAACAGTTGTGTTGCTTGGTGAAACAACAATGTCAGCATCACCAGCAATGCTAGTGTCTTCATCATCCTCAATGTCCAATAAGAATTTCATGTACTCACTGTTATCTTTCAACTCTTTGTTCCTTGGAGGCCTCCACCTTTTCCTTTTTTTGTCATTTCTAACTCTATAGCAGTAGTCACTCCTTCCCAGTCCCAACTATTCATAGTTGTGGTAGTTGGTGTGACAGAACTTACAAATTGGATCTCCATTGGAGTGTCTCTTCTTCAAATGAGCGTTGCTGCTACAAAGTGGGACTCCACACAGCTTGCACATGCTGTAAGTATTGGCACCGCACATGTAAAAAACAAATGTTTCTGCTCCTTGACTTGGTTGGTGTTGTTGCTACCAAATACTCAGACTGTGTAAAGCAAAATCTTCCCATTGCCTTGTATTCTGCAATCTTCTGCAAATTGTGGTATGCAAGCAACTTGCCATTGCTAAGGAAAGTCTTACATGCTTTTCTTCTAGCTGTTCTTCCAGTTTTAATAATTTGCTTTTGTTGGGTGTACTGCCTAAGCCTTGAATCACAGTTATAAAACATGCTCAACTGGGTCGTATTTGATCATCTGCAAAGCAAGCCTTTGACAGAACTTGCGGTAGCTCATAACGTTGGTTGCTTTCCACTCATCACCAAGGCTTCCATCAGTACACTCTTTGTGGAAATTGTATGCTGTAGCAATCATCAAAGCTTCTGCATGGTTAAATGCTGCATGGTAGTATTTCCATGATTTGTAACCAATATTTGCTCAGGAGATCTATGCGTCAATATGATCCAGTTTCCTGTAACTATAAAGATAAACTTCACAAGACTCATTCATTTCTATGTTCCATGTGTGCTTGTCAGCCCCCCTTCCTTGTTCCTTTTGATGGATGTAAAAAGATGAGGATGAAACAGAGTTCACAGATCCTAAGTTGTAGGCTCCAGTACTCTGACATGAACAGTGGACTCATCTGTAGGCTTTTCTTCCCTTCTCTAAATCTGCTGGTACAGTTTTCACAGCAGTTATAGGCTGAACCATACGTGAGGCCTTTGCTCTTGATTTTCCTGCTGCATTCACTGCACACCTGGTAGCATGCATAGCTGAAGCAAGGGCATTGTCGATAATCTGATCTTCATCAAACTCATTTCCCTTGAGTGGACTTGAATGAAGAGCTCTCAATACATTGGCAATTGTCTGATGTACTCTTTCACAAACTGCATTCGCCTGTGGATTTTTCACAGTGGTTTGGACACTCTTAATTCCGTACTGATTCAAAAGCTGTTTGAATGGGCTTCCAATGAATTCTTTGCCATTRTCATGGACACACCTGTTGGGTYKTGGGTATCTTGACAACCAGCAGTTAGAGAACTGCTCTGCCACATGCTCACTTGATTTGTTGTTGATTCTGATAATTTCCAATAAGTTAGTGACTGGATCGATGCAAGTGAGGGCATTGATCACTAATTCTGTTTTGTCCAGGAGAAGGATTTTCCAGGGACCAATCAAATCCACACATACTTCATTCCATGGAACAAGCTGCGCCTCCCAAGCTGGTAATAAGCCATGCCCTTGTCCTTGTTGTTTGAATCTGTGGCACTCATCCGGACACTGGTAATGTTTGCATCTTAGGCTGAGTCATGGAGTATAAAATCGAGCACTGATAGTTTCATATAACCGGGTGCTTCCACAATGCCCTAATAATAGATGATACCATCTGAGGGTCTTGTCTACGAGGCCCTCAGGCAGGTAGATCTTCCAGTTATTATCATTCGTGGATACCGTAAGTAGCTCAAAAGTGCCTATCCTCCTCTTGATATAGTGTTCTGGGTCGGTCTCGAGTAGGTGTTGGCACTGTGGATCAGTGAGCTGGTAAGTGTAAAGGCTTGCATTTGTTAAGGGATTTTCCATCTCTGATACTGGTGGTAAGTTGAGTAAGCACTTGTATAGTTCTGGTTCCAAGTAGAATACATCTTCCGGATCCACCTGGGCTGTCAACTCTTTGAAATTCACCATTGTTCCTTTATTTTTCTCATATATTTTCTTTTCCTTATCCCCCACAGTGCACGGATCCATTCTGGGCACTCGGGAAAAACAATCCGCAAGCACATTCTTCTTGCCTGGGATATACTGCCAGGTGATATCAAATCCCTCTAAGGACAATTTCCATCTGAGGACCTGGGATTGGGACAGGGTCCGGAATATGAGATTCTTGTGGTCAGTATAAATATGGATCTTGCCACTGTAGAGCATATTTCGGTACTCTTTGAGGCAAAGGATAACAACTAACAGCTCTTTTTCCATTGTGGTGTAATTTTGTTGGGTCTTGTTCAGTTTCTTGGACCAATATGCAATTGGTTTGTCATTCTGGAGTATTGCTGCACTGAGCTGATAATCAGATGCATCGGTGTAAATATGAAAGGGATCTTTCGCTTCGGTCTCCAACACCCGCCCAATAGCCCAGTACTTTACATCATTGCAACATAGTAAACAACCTCCGGAGAGTGTCACACAAGCCCTGCTGGTCTTTGACGCATACTCCAAAAAGAAACGACACAAGCAGCCAGTTGTGCCATATACTTCTCTGGCTCCACCTGTCAATTCTTCCAGTTTACTCCAAACCAAAATACAACAATTCTTTTAAATCCAGCAGAACAACCCCTGGTCGCACTTCCATCAACACTCCTCA